AGCTCATACCAGGGATGGAAAAACCGAAATAACCATTTATCCAAGTCCCAAGGGAGGACCCATTCGGGTTTCCAGTCATGTACAGTCAGTGGGGATTTTGATCAGTGGATTGAGGCATTAGCAAGCCTTTAATAAAGTAAATAAATCCAATAAATCTCAAGTAAAAATCTGGAGGAAAAACCCTCCCATTCAGGGAAATTCTCTCTGTCATTGTGGCAGCTTGTTTCTTACATTATTGCATTTCCAATTCCATGTAATTATAGATGCTATGATGGACTATCAATTTCCTAGTTTATACAACTTAATTATTATCAGGATGCTGAGAATCTGAAACGAGCAGAGTCCATTTCTAAGCCCCAGCCAAGACCTAATACTTCACCAGACCGAGGTTTAATCTTAATACCATAACCTAATGCCAGCTTATAAATCATTAGCAGGGAGTTTTGTAGTCATGGAAACAACACAGAACAGAGAAAGTTAGAGCCTAAATTCCAGCTGATGGAGCAGCCCAGCAGCTCTGAGCAGAGAGGGGCTGGAACCGGCGTTATCTTGGTCCAACCCGAGCTCGTGTCCTCACTGTTCAAGCCAACAGAGGGAAGGAACTTCCTTGGCCAATTTTTTCCTACTAAAAACCTGTGCTGAGCAATCTTGGGAGCTGCTTTTGCACTAAATTTTCCATAAAACAGAACATGGACACAGTGTCTGGCTCTTGTGTTTCTCCCCTTGGCGTTACAAACGCTCGCGAGGGCGGCGGCTTTTCCCATCACACGGTGCACTCTCACCCCTGTCACAACCAAATGAACTGATGAACTAAATCACAGAAATTAATGTATATACACATATTTATCCACATAAAAAGGAGCAGGAGGCTGGAGATGCCCACACAAGACATGGCAGTACACAAGACCCTCAGCAGGGATAGGTGATACCAGGGACACCATCGAGGATCCACAAGGTTTTCAGCCACGGATTCCTTGGTGGATTTACACTCCAGCAAGACTTCTCTGCAGCAAGGACAACACTGAGGAGATGTAAATAAGCAGAAAGATGCTCATCTACACTAAGATTTTTCATGGTGGTCATGTCACTATGGTGAGCTAAGACCTAATCAGTAAAAAGTGCAATCCATAAAAATGAAAATGCATTTTTGCTTCATTAGCTAAACTAGTTACTGAAAAAAATAGTTAGGAAAAAATTCCTATCATTCCCACTGCTAGTAAAAAGGCATGAAGGCAAAGGGGATGTTTCATAAAAATATAAATGGGGAGGGTGATAAAACTCTACCTGGGAGTTAAATATGGACTATTTTATGTCTTTAATTTACTTTTCTCCTCATTTCCTCTCCTGTTTCCCTTAAACTTGTGTCATATTTACCCTTTTGGTTAATAACAGTAAATTTATTGAAATTATTTGCCTGAAAAAATGAATGTTATCAAAACAGCTTTTAATTTACTGAGTTTATATATTTCTAAATATACACATACAAAACGTGGATGATTTCCTTCCTTTCAGGCCTTTTGCTGGAGCCAGTTCAGCTCTGGGAGCTTTTCTCTGTTCTTTGCTGACCTCTTGTGGTTTCTTGCTCTGAGGAGAAATTATTTTCTCCAGCTCCACATTGTTAATTGAACGTTTACTTGGGATAAAGGCAAAAAGAGAATCTGAAAGGACAAGACAACAGTTTAACACAACATTGAGCACCCCAACAGACCTCGTTTGGGGGGGTTTATAATCAATTTTCCAATTGATTCAGTATTTTTTTTTAACTTTTTGGTGTCGCTGGATAGAAGTTAAAACTATATGAAATACTTGGATAGGTGATTTCAAAAAAATTCCCGAATTTGCCAGGCAAAAAATTGAGGTAAACATATCCCTTAGAAAATGTAGGCAACTAATTCAAATGGCTATGAAAGACAGTCACTGGAAAAAGGATATATCTATCCTAAGATAGGAATTTGAGGGGATATTGCCCTGGACAACGAATAGATCTGCCTGTGAGCCGTGAAATCTTGAGAGGGAAGAGTTTCCAGTCCCCATTTGGCACTGTCAACATGTTTAATCTGTTTAATAATCCTGTGGCCACCTGAGTCCATTTTGTTTTCTGCCTTTATTGCCAAACACGCTCTGCCCTGCAACAGAGCGGTGCCTAACGAGGAGAAATGTAATTAAAGAGGCTGCCTAGGAATAATATTCAAGAATTCTTGCAGAAGTATCCTGTGGTAGTGCTAATAAAAACCCCAAACAGCAAATAGGATGCTACAACAGCAAATCCCTAAGTGTCAAAAAAGGAATTGCTTTTATATATGCTCCTTCATTTTTTAATTATGCAAATTACTGCTAGTTTTCAATCTTGAGTGTGGAATTTGCTTTTAAGCATAAAACTCATCTCAATATGGGCAAAGAATAATAAAATTCTGTTCTAAAATAATTTTTAAGGACTTTCTACCTAATCCTAGAGCAAATCCCTGCAATCAAACCCCCCCAGGCATGCAAAGCTGCAGACCAGGACTGATTTTAAAGCCTTGGGAATTGTGTATCCAAATCTTAAGGTGCTATGAAACCATTTATCACACACAAACACATGCACCCAAAAAGATGAAGGTGTTTTCTGCACGATGTTGAGAAATAATCTATTTAAATATACACTTTGCAGTGGAACAACAGCAGGATAAATGTGTGATCCTTCCCAGCATCTGATTATTCCATAACCAAGTTTTTCTGTGCTGCCTGACCTCGCTCTCAGCAGCCCCAGCTCTGCTATGATGTTATAAAATCAGTTTTACAGGTTTCTAGCTCAGAACTGTGGTGTTATCCTGGGGAACACAGCCTTCCTCCTTCAGCTGCTCCTGCTGCTTCCTTTCAATGCCAACCCTGCACACTCAGGCACACAAGCTCCCAGCAGCCCCACATAAAGTGATTACCTCCAGCATCATTCCCAATCATTCCCAGAGCCGTGTGATGGTCCCGCAGGAGGCAGTGACGCCTCTGAGCTGAGGTCAGCGCTGCCAAGTCACTGCCAGCCCCAAGGACAGGGGGGATTTGGGATGATCATAGAATCACAGAATCACAGAATCATAGAATCAGCTGGGTTGGAAGGGACCTCTGAGATCATCAAGTCCAACCCTTGATCCAACCCCGCTGTGGTTCCCAGCCCATGGCACTGATGCCACATCCAGTCTCTCATCCTCAAACCTCCAGGGATGGAGAATCCACCACTTCCCTGGGCAGCCCATTCCAATGGCTGATTACTCTCTCTGTAAAGAAATTCTTTCTAATATCTAACCTAAACCTCCCCTGGCACAGCTGAAGACCCAGCCCTCTTGTCTTGCTGATGGTTGCCTGGGAAAAGAGACCAACTCCCCCACCTGGCTATGACCTCCTGTCAGGGAGTTGTAGAGAGTGAGGAGGTCTCCCCTCACTCTTCCCCAGGCTGAACAGCCCCAGCTCCCTCAGCCTCTCCTCGTAGTGATTCAGTGAGAAAAGACACATCACAAACAAGGAAGCTTTTTTTTCTCCACCCCCTCCATGAAAAAAACTGAATTCTTGAGCGTCCCCATCAGAACAGAGAGCCAGCTTGCTCTGTTGGAATTCATGTTTATAATTCACCAGCACTAAACATGAATTTTTTGGAAGCAGCAGCTGTAGGAAACTCCTCAGCCCTTTTTTTTTGGGTGCTTTCCTGTGGTGGAAACATGAATGGACAAGGACTTCTGCAGGTTATATCAGTGCACTTCAAGGCCTGGATTTTACAGATGAAGTGACAAAACTTCATATCTATCCCAGATGTATTTTCTCCTTTAAAAACACACTTAAACAGAGAAAATTCCAACTTCCCAGCATGAAACAAGTTTCACCAATGAAACCCCCATGCAGTTTTATTCTCAAATAAGAAAAGGTGTAAAGGATTGAGGAAGGACAGTCCTCTTCTGCACAGGCCTTTCTGAGATGGAGATATCAGATAAAGAATCAAGGTTAAGAAAAAGTGTTACTGATTGCATGACAAATGATTATTGCATTAGGAAATATTTGGCAGTGACAAATGGTCTTATTTTTTGATTTTTCTGGTTCAGTATTAGAATATTTGTTAAAATCATGCATTATTAATATAAACAACTCTTCAAACATAACATTTGTTTTTTAAATTAAGTATTTTAAGCTTCGAGCTGTAACATGTAAACTGCTCTAGGTCAACTTCAGCTGTAAAAATACTATTTGAAGATGACAATGGCTTCAATAATCTTAGATTCCTAAAACAGTTACAGCTCAAGAGCTTCAAATTTTAATTCAAATTGTAACTTAACCAATGTATAAAACTTCAAGTGTGATTTGTGTCAGTGACCTTTGCTGTAATAAAGCAAGATAATTTGTCAGAGATACATGCAAATATAAAGTCCACACATGTATGTTCTCAATGCTGAGATGTAACTTTTATGGCAACAACTGAGTGATGTGGTGATTAGTGAAAAAAGCAAAATGGGAAGGTAACAGGTGAATTGGTATCTCAGGTATCAGAGCATCTGTGCACATGATAATATAATAATCTCTTATGATATAGCATACTCCAAATAACACAGAGCAATAGATGTAGTATGTTATACCATAAACCATGCATGCTGTAGTATGCAAATTTATCTATTTAAATATACAGTGACCACGAGCATTATTTGATCTGTGAAAGTCATTTAAAGTTCCATGAATGTCTTTCAAATTAAAGATGCACCATTTTCCATTTTCCATGAGAAGGTGGCATTCATTTAACTCATTCCTTCAAAAAGAAAGGCACACTGCATCTGCTCAGGTTGGATGACTGCTTTTTGGTAGTAAAATCTTAATCTGGGGAGCATTTTGTGACAAATCCATTTTTTTTTAAAGAAAACCTTTAGCTGGGAGAAAAACAAGTGCATCCTTAAAACATGCTGAGGATGAAACTGAACTTAATAAACTTCAAACATCAGTCAAGAGGGTTGTGTGAAGAGAAAGGTGCAGGAGAACACCAAAACTACCTTGAAGAAGTGGATATTTACATGACAGTCCTGGAAGAGACAGGAAAGGGAGAAACACTGCCTGGTTAGTAAGGGCTGGCACAGCAAAGCAACCACAATTAGTAGCAGAATAAACAAATACAGACACAGCAGCGGGAATACAAAATGGACACATCTGTTAAGCACGGAAAAACCACACAAAAAAAATAAATTGGTGTTAATTACCCTGCCAGGGAGGAGCAGGGACAAGCACAGCGAGGGACAGGTCCTCACACAGCTGCTCCTCAGCTTTGGGCACATCCTCCCCCCTCATGCACGGGACATTCCTTGGGGAAACGCTCCAGGTGTGTCCAGCTGTGGGGAGCCTGGGCTTCACCAGCTGGTGAGCTCTGACAGGGCCACAGCACTAAAGGGTTTCTTGATTTTTTTTTTTTTGCCTTGTTCTGCAACACACATTTAACCTTTACAAAAAGGGATGAGGAAATCCCTCCCATCGATATGATTTTTTACATATATTCTTCACCTGAAATCACAACACGCTGCCTGAGAAAAGCCTTAGGGAAATCAGAGGCTGATCCGAACAGAGAGCAGAGATTTATGCCATCTAGTTAAGAAATGTCAAGTTTTCTAGTTTGAGCTCTGGTGAGTGGATGGGAAACCTCCAGATAACTGCATATGGGAATTCCCCATGCCAAACTATAGCACAGAACAGATGGAGTCATCTAACAGCATCTCTATAATGCTGCAAACTATTCTCTAATGATTAAATATGCACAATTTAAAAATAGGAATGAGTGCCATGGCCAAAAAAAGCAGTTCTTCTTTTTATATCTCTATATGCATAATGAGAGTGGATTGATGTGCCAGTGATATTTTGGCTGGTCATGATTTCAGTGTAGCTTAGTGTCTGTTTCCCGAAAAGTAAATTTAATCTTGTAGTTCACAATTTGAAGTGTCAGCAACATTATTTCCCTTCTTCATGTCACCTTCCCTGACCTGCCTGAAGTTACAGTTATTGCTTCAAAATGGGAGTTATATTGGTTAGATACAGATTGGAAGAGATCATATCTTTCATTTATTAAAAAAAAAGAGTAAAGTAACTGTAGTATAAGAGCTCTGGGGCAAAAACATTGCCATCCTTCAAAAACTTAAAAGAAATGTTTCCTTCACAGCCCTTATAATACTTTACAGAGAGACCTGGAGAACTTAACCCACAAATTAACAAAATCATAAGTTCCTCTACAGTTTGGTTTATTTTGTTTTGTTGGGGGTTTTTTTGAGCGAAAAATTAATCAATTTAATTAGAAAACTCATTGGGTTTTTAAGAAGCTACTGAAACAGTTCTTGGAGTCTTCTGCTATGGCCCTGGCTGTGCAACTGCAACACTTTCACCCAGCCTCCAGCTTAGAAACAAGACAGCTCTAGGATGTTCTGGCCACTGATTAAAGGAAAGAAAGAAAATGCCCTTTTGACCTAAAGTTGCTGTGAATATCAGGAAAATGTCAGATTAATCAAGACAGTCCTGGCCTTCTCCTTTCTAATAAAGCAGCCAGAAACTGCTTTAAAAACTAAAATTAAAGGGAGTGTTGAAGATCTAAGAAATGCAGGACCTGCAGTGAAACAGCTGAAATGATGTATTGGTGTTGAGAAAGGAAATGATAAATAAATGAAAGAGGTTTTCTTTAACATTAGACTATAACAGCAACAGAACCTATCAGAAAGCTTTAATTGTGCCTTGAAATCTGGGGACATTTTCAGGTTCTGTTTAACACCAGCTGTGCTGCCACAAAGAGAGACCTGGTGGTGTAAATCCATGGGAGCTCTGTATGCACAAATCCAGACTGGGAGAGGGCACTGCTTTGTAAATTCACGTCTGCACAAGGATTAACACACAAGTTTAGTCAAACAAAGCACTGCTCTGCATCCTGGAGGAGCTCAGCAGCAGAAATATCTGCAGCTCCTGAGTCACTGGAGAGGTCCCGGGTATTTATAACCGAGCCCGATGACCAAGCTCCACATCCTCCCTGTTCTTATATTTCAAATGATAAGGCACTTTAAAAGACATTTGCTTTAGGATCATCCTAATAGTTATGTTTAGAAGCACTGAGATGTCACCCAAATGTCACCACTGACTGAGCATTTCCAGTGCTCAGATACAAAATCCACCCTGTTCTGGACTCTGCTCCCTCCCCTTATGTTGCAGGCTGGAAAAGGACACAACAGGTCCAGCTTCTGTACAGCCTCCACCAGCATTTCCATGGGTCAAGGCAGCTGAAATCTTGAGCACAAACACCACTCAGAGGTAGCCTGGGTGGTGGATGTGGATTTGTGTCCCCAGGGAAGCACCATCAGAATGGTCCCACACGGATCCCCCCAGTGGGAACAGCAGCCTCTCTCAGAAACCAAGGGAACAATTTCGTTCCTCTGAAACCCACCCAGAGCTACACTAGAGGAAGTAATTAGAACAAAAGAAGATGTCTGATATGTGAAGATTATGCACCAGGAGGACCATTGCATGTCTTCCCCACAGAGGCTTTAAAATGAAGATTTTAGGAGTGGCAACAACGTGCTCGGATCACTCCAATTCCCAAAGTTGGGTGTAGTGACTCACACTGCTCCCATCACTCATGATACCTTGTGCTCAGTAAATGTGTCCACGTGTCAGGATTACAGCTGCTCTGGCCTTTGTTTAATTTAAAAAAAAATCATTTCAATGGACCATAACTGCTTTATTTTTAATAACATTTCCCATGCTGGTGATGTGGAAAGAAAGGAACAGAGAGAATAACTCACCAGCCTACTTTTAAACCAGTATTATTCTATTATTATTCTATCAAGAAGTGCTTTACTAAGCAGGAAAAGGAAAAAAAGGCTTGACCAAACTGAAATAACTTTCTACAATAGAAGTTATACAATTCACACATTTCTTTTCCTCTAATACAAAAAAACCCCCAAGGAATGATGCTCTAAATAGCAAAAGCATCTTACTGCCCAAACCACAACCTGGTAGAAAAAAATACCATAAGGTTGCATTATTTCAATATTCTGCTTTTTTCTTTGCCTAGTAAAATACTGCAAGAAGAAAATAAGTATCTAACAAAGAGTAGATGCTGCAGTCAGAAGATTTGCTAGTTTGGGTCCATGGAGCCACCTGGGACTGTTGGGAGTTCCCATGGCAACCTCAGTACGGACAATTATGGAGCAGCTACAATTATTCTGAGGGAGTTGCATTTTGAGATGGCCACAAATAATCCCATTCCAGAGAGAAAATTCACAACCAAAGGTTAAAACCAACCGAAAAATAGTGACAGATTTTCTCCTGCCTCCACTTCCTACAGGAGTATATTTTTATCTCCAAATATTAATAATGATGTATCATGTATAAATCACTGAGGACAGATTTGATAACACTGCTAAATGAGCAGATAATGGATTTGTAAGTTCTAGTGAGAGGTGAGATCCAGAAAATACGTAGATTGAATAAAATTTGTTGTGTAGAAAACACTGCACTGCACCCCTGCATAACACACCTCACTTTTTATATTATGCACAAGTTCATATAGATAACACATTGTACATAATAAGAAAAATCCTGGCAATAAAATCAAAAAGGTAAAAAAGCACCATCCTCTTCAACTCTTTCTTTTCCAAATTTGGTCCCATTTGTTGGATAGGGCAGAAGTTGGGTGTTAATTTTTCAGCTGGTTCAGAGGTGGCAGAATGGGTCATGAGGAAACTTCTCACGACAAACAGGTTTCTTCTGTTCATTTACAGATGTAAGCGAAGAGAATTTTTGAATCTATTATTATTTATTTATAATCTTGCATGGCTATTTTATGGTAGATTTACACTGAATAAATGACTTTAAGAATCTGTGCCAGAAGGTCCAGCAAGCGAAGCAGCATATCCACGAGATTTGTGTGGCTAATAACCACATTTAAATAAGAAGTCTGGGTGGTTACAGTGATATGTTAAGAAGGATGTGATGGGATTGTGTAAAGAGTTTGAAACCAGTGGGAGCTTGAGGCCCAGTCTCAAGGCTGTCTGTTGAAATCTAGATGCAGGCAGATATTTTTAAAATTCTGATTTAAATGGGAGGTTGTAGCAACTGAAGCACGGACACCCTTGCTGGTCACAATTGTTTATTATTTATTTCAAGCCTCTATTTATAGAGGAATTAGTTTCATTTCTGCTCTGTGAGCAAAGCAAAGCACCTTCAACCTATCAACAAGCAATACTCGGCCCTATAAAATTACAGTATGCACATTTCTACCCATCAACAACTAACGTCCATCTTTACACCTATCAGCTTCCCACATGCTTTCTTCTTTTCTTCAGTCATCCTCTTGTTCTGGGTCACACGACCTTTGGCTCCAGGCACATTGTAGACACTTCCTCCCACCTTCTGCCACATTTTGTTCCGTTCTGGCAACGTCCTCTGCTTCGGTAACCCTTTAAGTTCTGCTCTGGTCCACGATCCTCCACATCTCACTGAATCTACATGGGTTAGTAAGGCACTTGTTGCTAAGCTAGTAGCATTAGCTTCCTTTGCAAGCCAGTAGCCAAGTTTATTTAGAGAGGTTAAAGCATGTTCCTGCTATAAGGCTAGAAAAGAATCTTTGCAGTTGGTTCCAGAATCAAACATTTGAGTCACAATTTGTGGAAAATTGGCTTATTGATCTTTTGCCTCTGCTGCGTGGAGTTCTGTTCAAGGGTAACTCATTAGGGTGAAATAGCGTTAGTTGCCCAAAAGCACGGGGACCCCCCACCGCTTTTCCGGGGTTGCTCTTCCATACTCATTGCCCACAAATCAAGAATAAATCAGGTAACCTTATTGGGTTATTGCCAGGGACAAACCCTGGCTAAGTGTTTCGTTACACCATAAAGAAGCACTTGCATAAATCCCTATGGGAGAGATGTGAAGCTCGGGTTGATTCGCGCGAGGACCTGTGAAAAAATTAAGATAGAAACATGTTGTAGCTTGTAAAGTTCCCAAGATCCCTAATTCTTGTGGCTCAAGGAGCATGGTTGGGAAATCGTTCATTCTGTACAGTTGATTCTGGTACCAGGTGAATCTGCAGTGCTTCGGCTGCTTGATTTTGGGTCTGCTACAGTTACCTCGTCCCATTTGGTCGTACAGCGATTCCCAACGGGGTGTGTTGCTGTTAAAACCATTTTCAAGAGACATTTCCAATCATGAAGAACCAACACATAAGAAGTACTTAACACTTCTAAAAAGGAGTACACACGGGGTGAGGAGATACTGCTTTCTCTTACTAACTACTGTAAATCCTTTATCATCTCATAAGACAGGTTATGATACGTAGGAGGTTGTTGTCGATATATAACAGGACAGGCAGTTACAAATTCCCAATCACCCGCTGCTAAAGCCTTTTCTCTGCATTCGTCCCATTTGTTCCCATAAATATTTCTGTGCCCATTCTGGGTTTTGATGAAAGGAGATAGTTTTTGTTCCAGTTTGTCTAACCCCGGATCAGAAGAGTCGTCGGAGTCAATGTCAGATTCCTCTTTCGGGAGGGTGGAAAGGCACGTTTGTGGGAGTTTGGGCAGCTTGCAGCTGCTTTTCTCCTCAAAGGGTTACTCTGCACTCTTAGTTTTGTCCTCTGTCACAGGAGGAGCAGGGGGGTTGGAGTCCAGAGCTGCAACAGTTTCTGTCTCTTTTTGAGCTACTTTTAAAGTAGCCATCAGCATACCCCACGTAGTTAAGTGTTTGCAAGCTGCAGAGTCCCCAAGTCCAGCTTGCTCACAGAGCATACGACCAACTCGTTGCCAAGTTTCTATTTGGAAAATCCCATCTCTTGGAAAATCAGGTAGGTGTAAAAAAATCCAATCTAAAAGTGTGATTAATTTACGTCCGGACACTTCTCGGTTTTGCTCTCGCATAAGGCGACGCAAAGAATCCAAGCTTTGCTTCTGTTCCTGGGATATTTTCCCCCCCATCTTTCCCAGCTGCTCTCCTGCTTGCAGTTGGGAGATCGCTGTGGATGAACGTCTTCTTTCCTGAAGTTTTGTTGAAAAGTCCCTGGGACCCCCTGATGGCCCTCCTAAGAACGTGGGGAGGGGGTGATGAGGTTTTTCTTTCCTTCTCTCCTCGGAAACGGTGGCATTTATTTCACTTTTGCCTTAACTCAGGCAAGGCGTGTGTTGGAAAGGCTCCGAGGTCGTTTTGTTCTCAGCCTGGTCATCGGGCTGTTTTCTGGCCCTGTCTTGCCTGTGCCCTGTTCTGGCCCCAGCCCGGATGTGCTCGGATTTCCTCTGAGAGGCTTGACCCATCTGCAGAGGAACTCTTTGGGGAAAAGGTCGCCCTTTCCCTCCTCCGCTCCCGTGTTTGGCAGAGGTTTGTGCCCATTGATGCAAAGGGAAAAATCCCGGCCACAGCCAGTCACAGCCAGCGTGAGTTCTCGTGAGAAGAACCCCTTTTCCCCCTTTTCTTTTTCCCCTTCTCACTGTGTGTGTGGGAATCTCCATTTTTCGGCTCCTCCCGCGCACCGGGGCCCTCACATGGCGATTGCCAGAGCCCAACACACCCCCTGCCCACCGTGGTTAGAAATGTGCCAAAAAGCAGAAAGCACCAAATTACTTCCTTTTGAGGGGGATTTTTAGGTACAGGATTATTGTTTGGTTGGTTTTTTTGTGTTCTTTTGTTGTTCTGCCAATACACATATATCCTTTAATAAAGGGCTGTTATTTTTTTTTTTCTTTAGCCATACTTCCTCGATTGAAGCCTCTTAGTTTTGGATTTACAGGTGCTTAGAGGGAGGAGTTTGGCCTTCCTCATAAGTCATCCTCCTAAGCAAAACACTTCAGTCTCATTAAACTGAGACATCTATCTATAATTTTAATGTTCCTGACAAACTCACTCCCCCAGCAAAATGGCAGTCAAGATCTGCGATCCTCTTCCTGCAAGGTTTCAATGCTGATTTTAGAACAGTGGCAATATTTATTTAGATGATGTCATTAAATCCCAAATAGCAGCATATTTCTCAGTGCTATCTACTTGTTCCTTAGTGCAGGGCACCTAAAATAAAATGCCTATGTAAGCCAGAATATAAATGATAACAGAAGTAAGATAAAAGATGATCAGAGTCAGCACCACTTATGTGCCACACCAGAATAGCTAATAAGTTAAATACCACCATTCAGACATCTGTGCTGCTAATTTTTAGAAGCCATCACAGTGATGCCCCTTGAAACCAAGTAAGAATTTTACTTGGAGGGTCCTGTTTCCCTCTGCCCATTCTCAGGGTGGTAAATTTTACAAGAGGGCAAATGGGTGAACCTGAATCCTTTTGCCATGTAACACTGCATTATCCCAGCCTCGGTCTCCTCATAATTACAGGGTTTGTTCACACTCATTTATCATCACTATGGTTTAAAACTGTTCATTGTGCACCTGGGGAAATCACAGTCCTGGAGACACCATGTTCACTGAAGACCTATTCCCTCCCCTTCATTAATTCAGTCACTCAAACAGCCACAACCAGGCTACTCCCAGAACAGGGAGAGCCTCAAATACACAGTGCTGAGGCTGAACTAATTAGACTTTGAGACAGACTAATTATTTCTGAGGCAGAGCTGCCCCTATGTGAAGCTGCTGTTTCTGGGACCAGGTCCAGTAGCTTTACCCGATGCAACCTCTCAGGATTTCTCCTCCACTTCTTTGCAGGACACAGATAAACCCTGACTGTTTCTCCTGCAACCAATGTATTTACTGTAGCAGGAAGAAAAAAGCCTAAGAGGTTGTAAATTCAATATGCAAACATACTGCATATAGTACCTGACCTTTTTAAGTGGACAATTTTAGTGACTTGTCTTCATGCTGTCTCTGACCTGAGAAAAATCAAGTAGATTTCTATACCTGTATCACCAATATTTAAACACCAGTTCCAGGCTCTGTATAATGCACGGGGGCATGGAAGGGGTGGACAGAATTACTTTTAAAGCTATTCTTTATAGCGAGGATAAAAAATAAATATGATCTTGAACAGCAAATGACCTAGTGCAGCAAAATAAAATCACACCGGGTCAGATCACAATTGTAAAGAAAGGAAAATGGAATGGAGATTGAAATACTTCTCAAATGTATAACAAAAATCATAGTTCATGCTGCAGACAGGAGTATGGGAGCTGATCCAAATGCGTTCACAAGAAATTGCTGCACCTTTTCTTTTTCTTCCTTGAAAGTTGCACATGTGCTGTTTTTCCTCACTTTCTCAGGTTAACCCATCTTTTATAATAACAATGGAGAATTCTGCCTGATGGTGAACATAAAAAATTGCCATTTCAGGTTGAAAGGAGCAGGCTTGTTTGTTTATGCACAGCAGGTGCATTAATCACGTTCTGGATAAACAGCCTGGCTGGGGCTGGAAATGTCCAACCAGGAAAAGGGAATCAACAGTGCAGGTTGGGATATTTCAAATTCATTACTGTGTGAGCAGCTGGAAGAGCAGCCAAGGGAGATGAGCTGAATCCAGCACAGCCATCAGCAAACCCCCTCCCTCCCCAGGCTGTACCTGCCCTGTTCCTGGGGTTTGTGGTCAGCAGATACTTAGCTGAAGTCTCAGCTGTAGTTGTCACAAGAGGCTGAGTTGCTGGCTGAGTGTGATCATTAAGGAATTACTCCTTTGTATGGCACAATGAGGCTGTGCTTGTGGCTACCAACCCCTCCAGTTGCCACCACAGAAGGCAGGACACTGTGGAAAGCATTGCTTTCCTCTGGATTCTTTTTTCTATACACAACTACCAATACCTCTGGTCCTTAAAAACATCCTCACCCACGCTACAGAGATCAGAATTTCACATGAAAAACTTCTGCAAAGATCACGAGACTCTAAATTATCAGTAATAATTACAAGCCTTTTGTTAAAACACAAGAACCTACACTGTTAAATATTCTAAATATGTGGTTTCTGAGAATTTCATTTGTCAAATAACGCAGATACCAGTGATAATGGCTGGAAGATTTTGCAGCAAGTATTAGAAGATATTGAAATTATTACACATGCTTGACAAAACATATTTTAAAATACCAACTTAGAAGTGTCATAGCACAGAAGCTGAACTGTCAGAAAAATGATGCCACCGCTGAATTAAACCATTTGGTCCAATCTTCAAGGAAACCAAAGTCACACAGAGCTGACACAGGAACAGAAGCAGTAGCACTCAACCATATGTATGTTTTAACGGGCTTTCTTTTTTGGAATAAAGTGAAAAATTTCGTAATAAAGTGAAAAATAAGTGCAATATACAGCTTTTAGCCCTCACCTCAAACTTCTGCCGGAGCTCTGCATTTCCATCTTCATCAGCATCTGGAATTGGGACATTGTAATATTCACCTTCTTCTTGATTCAGTAGCTTGTACCTGTGGAACATTTGAGAAAAAAAAAGTGACTTTCCAGTTTTATTCCTGTTAGATTTGAAGCCTGATTTAGTGTGATTATATGATTTGTTTTGTGTGTGTGGTTTGTATCAGTGTCACAGGCAGGTAAAGAACTGATCTCAAGGACCTAAAGCAAACTCACAAATAGGACATATTTAACATGAAATCAAACCTTTAATCCCAAATTACGTGGCAAGGCAGTTTAATGGACAAGGAGATTCTTCCCACCCATCCTGTGATATGATGGGAGACATCAACCCTGGAGAACCTCTGTCTCCAGTGCTTCCACAGCCCTAAAGAGCTGTCTTTGAAGGAATGTCCTTTTTCAGGAGGTGTGGTGAGTTCTACCCCTTGCTTGGTAGGTGGCATTTTATGAAATCAGTTTCCATGCACTTTGAATTTGCAGAGCTATATATAACATGATACACTTAGTAATGAATACATCGTATTTGAGATAAAAATAAAATTCCTATCACAAGACTATGTACACAGAGCTGAGTTTGCAGCAGCTCCTGGCTCCAGTGGAAGTTTCATGAACACCACAAAAGAAAAGCAATCCTTTCATTATCCTCCTTAGATATATATATATATATAGCCTGTATTTCCTAGGTTTAGTTGCACTTTCAGTGAATTTATAGCCTGAAACTCAGTGAAAAACTCAAAAAAAAAAAAAGGTAGATGGTGTTGAAGAAAAAGACTGATTTAAAACTTTTGGTAATATATTCTCTCCTTCTCCCTTGTCTGAAACTCTTACCATCCACTGGCTGGCATTTTCATAAGCTCTGACACCCCGAATGAAAGAGATCCCATGAAATCATTCCTGGTTGTTCGATCCCAGTCCCAGACCTCGACAGACAACCGGCGATCTTTGTCTGAAGGCTTTAATTTACTAAAAAGGAGAGAAACAGAGCAGTTTCCAATGCAACACTGAACAAACAATTGAAACCAGGCAAAGATCCTGCATGAAATGGTGTTAAACTCACAATGTGAAGGACTCATTCCAGTCTGGATTCAGAGTAGAACGGATGGTTTTTGTTTTTTGTTTGCTTTCGTTCTTAGGGTCTGGGATGAGCTTCAGTTTAACATAAGGATCTGAGAGTCCATTTGGATCCATGGGAATGAGGTTTTTTGCTTCTCTCACTGTCAATATAAAAAAAAAACCCAGCTTGTTTGTACAGGATTAGACATCGCTCATAAACGCAATAACATGTCAAAGCAGAGTTATTGAAAGATGCTGACAAATAAATAAGACGTGAAAGCCACTTGTCAGACTTGGCATGGAAGAAACTCCTTGCTGTAAAGTGAGGTTGTACTGGGTGATATTTGTCAGAATTGTGGAGAGCAATGACAGGAGAGGAGTGATTCACAACCGACACGCAGCTCCCAGGCAGCGTTTTCCTGCAGTGGAACGATTAAATACCCAAATCCATCACTGTAATTTTTCTAAGCAGGTACCAATTCTTTGTGCTTTTATTTCCTCATCAGTCTCAGGTCATACAACGACAGGAATATCAGCCAAAAGCTGTAAGGGCAACAGCCAGATCACAATGGATTTCAGAGGGTCCATTATCTGATATGATCCCCCTCTGGAAGGTTTTGAACACTGAATTTCCCCTGGATTCACAGTTCATCAGCTGTCAGAGGGAATCCTTGTGAACATTATGCCATGACAGCAACCAAAGGAAAAACACAGGGAAGACAAGCTGAACTTCAGCTTCGCAAAAATATTAATGTGGTTCCTACTTTTACAACGTCAAAAGAAGAAATAAAGTGAGTTATCTCATGTTGCTCCTGATCCCCAAAGAGTGAGAGACCCCTCAGAACCCGCAGGTCAGAAGTGCAGGGGAGTGGAATATCCAATGGAAGAACAAAGACAGCACTGCCCTCCCTCTTGTAGCCACATGAGTAGCATTTCTACATCATGGAAGGTTTTATTCTGCTGCACTTTGGAAGAAGAGGTGAATTTTCCTCATGTTGGGAAACCCCATCCCACCCAAAGCAGCTGGGATAAAGCTGGGGAGGGAAATTTGGAGCTCACAACTGGGCATCTCAAATCATGCTGGGAGCAGCAATCTCTGGGCTTGTTCTGGACAGAAAACAGCTTTCATTCAGGAATTCCTTTGTGACAGCCATAGTTTAAGACTGGAATTGTTTCTGGAAGGACGACTGCAAGAAGCTTTGAGGGTGACACGGTTCCCAGGGGATGAAGAAAGTCACCAGAGAGATTATCCTGGATTGAGTGTCCTCAGCTTTCATTCAGGAGGGCTTTTTCAAATTTATCTACCTAACTGCAGAAATCTAAAAGGAAAATTAGGAAACATCAACCTTTAAGTCGCTTAATATTTCTCGATGGAAAATATTTCCTGCAAAAATTTGAATTTTAGAGTCAGAGCTAATGCAAAGAAAGAAAAGAAAAAGACTTGTTATATCTTCAGCAACAGGTTAGTTACTGTTTGCTCAAGGCATTCTTCTCCTCTTCCCCCAGATTTAAATGGCATTTTCATATTATAAATAAAAAATCCTTCTCAGGATTTCAATCTGTTGTTTCCCAGCATGGAGGCTGAAAGGCATCCAAGGAACACAGATATTTTTTTTATATATAGAATAAGAAGAGGACAGCTTTTGGGCAGCAGGTTTTTATTATTGTGCTTTACCAAAGGCCAGGGGAATGAAAGATGGTGGTGTTGACAACACCCCTGTTGTAAAACAGCACTGATTTATAAACCATGGGATGTTCTGCTCCATTCCCTACACACCAGGTGTACTATCAGGGTGATGGAAGCAGCTCTAGGCTGACTGTCCTTGCAGGGGATGGAGAGAGTGTTTTAGTGCTCATTGTGTTTTTCCAAAGGTCACAACTGCCAAGTGCAAACCTACTCCTGAGCCCCTGTGGCATTTGATGCAGGATGTAGAGGGAAATTTTCTTTTTGGGAGAAAACCCACCAGTGCAACAGGAAAAAACCCCCATAATTTCAAACAGTTTGACCTGCTCTGTTTATTTAATGAGAGATTATTAGGTGTGGTAGAACAAGTTGGAAGGAAGAAACACCAGACCTAACTGGTACCTTATATCCAAAATAGCTGTGGGAAGAAGGCAGTGTCCAGGGATGTGAGTTACTGATATGGAAGACACTAGTTTATTTGTCAAGATAATTCTCATGCAGAACAGATACTCTGAGGTAAATTAATCAAGGAAATTAGATCGTGGCTGGAAATGAATCACATGAACTTGACCCAACAGTTGATACTGATTAAGTTTCTTAAATTTGTGGTTTTAAAACTACAGACAGAAAATGCTCATGGGTTAAAATTTTAGAATAAAGGGTAATCTGTTCACTAAGTTTATTGCTCAAATAATTATATCAGAAAAAAAATCACTGTGTTTTAAAAGAACAGAACAGAAACATGCATCTTTCTTGCAAATCATTTCATTTTTAGTTTCCCACAATCCCTGTATGAAGCTGACAGGGCTTTGCAACTGGGGAAATGACAGTTTTCAGGCCAGGAAAATTGTTTCCACTCTCATTTACTCTCAATTTGCCCTTTGAGGGTCTTCACACCCAGTGGTCAGCTGGAAAACCATTTGCTCTCAATCCATGAAAAAAACCAAACCCACCCAATATTAAAATTTAGCATACTGAAAGCCATCTTCAAATACACTTCTGAGGAATAACACTGAGATTAAAGGACTTATTTTAGCTAAGTATTTACAATCCCAAAGGGACCAAGAACCACAAAGCGAGTGCGGGATGAAGTGACAGCTTTCAGTGCAAGCTGCTCTCTCTCATCCTATATTTGGGGTTATTTTGTTGTTTTTTTTTTCAGTCCTCTTGTGCATGGTTCTTGTGACTGCACTGCCAGGTTTGGCACATGAGCTGTTACTTCAAAATCCACATTCTCATTCTTTTTTTCTATCCTGTAGTTTGACATAAGTGAGGAGCAGAACTCTCCACATGTTCTACAGCTTCCCAAAAATACACATTGGGAAGTTTGTCACTAAAATCCCTTGAACAAAATGGCTTAATTTGAACATGGTATCTTCAGACTGAGCTTTTAGGTTTCAGTTTTACCTGGAGAGGCTCAGTGTAACAAGCAGAATTTTAAGCAACAGGCTGGGTGGACGCAGAGACATCCTTGGAAGCTCTGCCATGGAGAATTCCCTGGAGAAAGCCATCACTGACCAGCCTGGGTAAACCTGCTGAGCCTAGAAAACAACACTGGCAGCAGGAGGCCACGGCAGCATGTGTAAGATTGCTTCTTTCTTTTGCAGCACACACAGAAAATGGAAAAAAAACCCCCACCTCTAAATATAAGAAAGAGAAGCTCAAAGATTAATTGGGAAGGAAAGATGCAACATGTACTAAATACAGGCTGCAGACAAAGTCATTATCTCCCTCCTTGTTTAAAGATATCTGGCCCATTTGTACTTCTGTCTGCATAATTAATACCCTTAGACATCCTTTTCCAACTGACTTAGCACTTCTTTTCCTGAGGAAGCAGCGTGATGATACTTGTGCTGAATGGTGCTTATAGAGAATTAGCATCCAAGTGGTCCATCTCCAAGGGTGCCCTATTTTTAACAGGATGGGTCAGGTTTCTCTAAGAGGATTGACATGAAGAAGAGATTTCCACTCCCCACAAAAGGCACCATCTCTTGTGTGGGGGTGAAAAAGTGAAATGAAAAATAATTCCCTGAAAATAAATCAACTTAACTGTGGCTGAGTGGTGCCATAGCTGTAATGACAGCCAGCAACCTCTTGCTGTTTGATAATTATTAGTTAATTAAACTCAATGCTGTGCTAGGGATGCTACTCTAAATGAGAGGTGGTTGAAGTGAGGTGAAGTGGAGCATAACTTGGGCACAAACCTAAAATATAATTTGTTGGGTTTCTGTTGTAACTATTAAGAATGATAACAATCTCTGTACTGAGCAAAGCAGCTGCTACAAGTTAAATTTCCCAACATTTTGCCCAGATTGGACTCTTAATGGGGACTGAGAGAGCACACAGATGAACAGACAACAAAGAGAAGTATATACTGAATTTTAACAAATCCCACCTTGCCCAGGTTTTCCTTCTAAAAACAGAAATAGGGAAAAAGTGTGCCATTTTCCTCCTTGTTAATGAAGGAGAGATCCTAAATGTCTATTCAGCAGAAAATGGAGACTATTTGATGCCTGTCCTATGGCTCTTCTATCACGTGCTCCTTCTAAACCAGCAGTATCCATCCAGGAGCCATGCCTGGAACTGGAACACCCACTTTCCCAGGAATAGTATAAAGATATAAGAAAACACAGATCTTGTTCTTAGGTATTCATACTTTAAATAAAAATCTAAATAAAACAGAGTGGGCTGGCAGAGAACAACTGACATTTGATGCAAAGAGAAGAAATACAGGCAGAATTCTGAGGAATTCAGAGAGTGGATGACGAAGCTGAAACTTTTTCCATGAGATTGGATAGGTCAAGCCATATGCAGTTATGGATTTATAGCTGCTTGTGGCACCATCAGATAAAATTAGTCATGGGAATGAATAAATAAATGTTTCTGTCCCTAGAACAAAGCTGGATGATTAGCAGCATGAGTTTACTCAGTTCCTTTTCAAGTGAGTCACAGCTACCTTTTTCCTGAATTCCCAAATGTGGATAATAAACCAGTTTAGTGATCACAGCAACCATTTTGTGCCAATCTTTTACCCCCCACAGGCAACTTAGATGAGCAGAAATCTCTCAACCACATGCTAATAGCTGCTTTTAGAAGACAATCCCAGTCTCCAATGGTCTGGCCTGGCACAATATCCAGAGAAATGAAGGAAAAGGGAGGCTGTTGTTGGCTCCAAGAGTTAGCTCCAAGTTTCTGTCTTCACACAATAAAGCATTAGTAAATTATTCCATAATTCTCACTGCCTCCTGAAGAACATTCTAGCCTAAATCCCAGTGATTTGCCCAGTTTTCAGATGACTTAGGTGAGTGACAGAGGATCTTGTATTCTCAGCCAAGGAACTTTCTCCCCAGTTCCTCCCTGCACTCCCCTTAACCACAGTTCAAAAGATTTACCCATTACTGAAAATAGTCTTTCTTCCAATCTGTGGATTTGTACTCTCTGTATGCAAAATCCAAAGCTGCCTCCAGAACTGCTCAGCTTTCATTAAAGATTTATTACGAGGTTTTAATAAAACTCACTGAGTGCTTCCTTTCTGGAGCTGGTTGTGACTCACATGTACAAGTGGCTCCGAAAACAAATCCTGCTTTTCAGACAATTTCCAGTTTCCATGCAGTTCTCATCACTAAAAGGGCTTTCAGATATGAGACTTTTCTCTATTCCATACCTACTCCCCTGCCCAGGTAACATTTCTTTTCATGTCCCTCCTGAGCCCAGTGCTCCCATTACCAGAGCCCTGAAAAATGGCAATATAACGAGCCCTTGCACTGCCCAGGAGATGTACAAGGTACAGATGATTCATTTCCTTGTCTAGAACAAGACAAAAAATGAACCAATTTCACAGGACACTTTATTTCTCTCTATTTATTAAGATATCCTCTCCTACTAACAAAAAATGTACCATCGCCCCTAACGCTGCTTCCCAAGTTCTTGTGCCTGCAATAGGTTCTCTGCTTTCAATTTGAACTGGAAATCTCACAGGAGCAATTCTATTTTATTTTTAAAATAAGATTATCTTTGTAAAAGTTATCATTAAGCACCGCTGGGTAGGACAGCTGCTTAATGAAACATAAATCTTAACACAAGATGGATCAAATCGTCTGAAAAAGGATTCAGACCATTACATTTCTAATTTTATCTGTATATACACTTACCTAAATATATAGGATTTAGTTAATATTTCTGTATGCATGTAGATGGCCATTTATGAAAAATTAATGTTCTTTTTAAATACCATGCATTGCCTATTTCTTCATGGTAAAGTAAATTTAATGACTGGAATGGGAAGGAAACTTTCTGTTGTTATCAGGGCTGGCATTGCTAAAGGCACAGCTTTTCCTGTAATGACTGCAGCAACCCTGCAGATTCTGGGAATGTCACAAAAGAGATATTAGTGAAGCAAACCATGAGATCCGTGTTTTTTGAGACATTAATAATGTCTCCCACGTGCAAGGAGTTATTTGGGATCCCTTTATAGGCATTTGGTACTAAAAGCTGGTCAAATACCGAGAATATTCCCGTATGCTCCCTTTTAAAATCAGTCGCAGATATTAGGAAGTCAATGCTAACAAAGACAGACACTGACCTAGAAAATCATAACTAAAATTATTAGAGTGGTGTGTGTGGTAAGACCTTTTAAGGAAACAATTTTTATGAGACTCAAACGTGCCAAAATTCTCCGAGTTTGTCTCCCCAGCTTGTCTGGGCAGAGGCTCCTGCCCCCGTTGTCCCCAGCAAGCAGCATGACAGGCCATTAATATGCAGAGCCAGAAGGTGGCTCAGCATTCACACACTCCTAAATAATGTGGAGAATGCACAGAGGGGAGCACAGAACTCCCGGGGAGGTTATTGTTGGAGAGCCTGCTCTGTGCTCCCAACCTCTGCAGGGATCACTGCCAGCCCTCCTCTCCTTCCAAATGACAGGAGCATCACCGAGGAATGAAACCAGATCTTCTGTATTCTTGAAGCTTAGAAAAATAGATTTAACCCCCCCTCTGAAAATTCTGGGCTGTGTCTATGTGTGTTTTAACAAGGTTTATGCAGCAGGGGGGTGCATTGGCTGCCAGCAAGTCACTACCACCCTGTCCCTAAATTGGTTCTTCCCTGTCAGCTCCTGTCACATCCAACTCCCAGCCAGTCTCAGGGCACAGTTTAGGGTCCCAATAACGTGGTAGCTTTTTATAAATCTGTGCACCAAATGGGGTTATTTTTCTCACACGGGTTATTGTTCATTCTCTATAAAAATAATCCCAAATATAAAATTGAAACAAAAAAAATCGCAACTGTGATTCAACCACCTACAAACTCGCCCTGAATTATAAGATGGGTCAAGAGGGAAATATAAGAGTGAAAAAACTTGTAGCACACATCAGGAGGAAAAAAATTCAGTGCAAAAAGCAGAGATTAAGAATAGCAAAAACTGCTTTATTATGCCTAAGAGCAAACCCCCCCCGTCAATCCAACCTATGAAAGGGTCACGAACTCTGTGATTTCAGAGATAAGCAATTCAGGAGTGTTTCTATAAAAAGAAAACTACCCCACTGATTTACTTCAAGTGCAATAAATTATTAATATTCAATGCAACTCTCAAGCAAGCAGCTCAACCATTGAAAATAAACCAGTGATGTTTAAGAACTTCAACGAAATGAGCACTGAGTGGGGCAGATTGAACAGCCCTGGCAAGATGGTGAGTTTTGGCAGAGTGTAGCAATCCAAAATTCCTACTCATTTGTGAAGAAGTGTTGCAGGATCTCTACAGTTCACACAGAAAAAGCTGCATGTCCGTGTTTATGCACCTGGATTGAAGATCTGACCCAGTTAACTGGAATTAAGTCTGTTTATACATAGGATTGAATCATTCCCACCATTAGTTCAATTCAAAACCTGCCAACTTGGAGATTTTAGATAATCTGACTGAACCACTGGCCAGCCCCACCTGGCAGAACCCTGCCTTGCCTCCTTCCTAGAATTCACTGGGGGGAAAAAAAACCAGTCCTATTTACAACATTCCATCAGGAAAATGTCCTGGCTGGGACTGGGAGGGTTGAGATGCCCACGGCAGTGATTTGCAAGGTGCCAACCCCAGAGCACGTCTCCATCGAGCAGCACAAATGTTTTGCATGAGATCAAGGCTGGCTGGGAAGGAACCAGCAGGAGCTAATTAACAACCAAAACAGGACGCAGGGCAGGGATATTGAGGAATTCAGCTGGAGCAGTTCAACACCTACAGAGTAATTCCTTTGAAAAAGATTCAGACAAGGGCTCAAACCAAACAGCCAATTGTCGATTATTTTTCCTGCTGTTCCTAAACCTCCTGGACACTTAATTCACCTCCTTTCCCAAAGCTAAAGGCAGTGATATTGTGCCTGGCAGCTCTGGGAACTGCATATTCTAACAAAGGTTTTCTCAATAAATATTTTAGAAGCAATGACATTCTAGGAGAAAATTTTTGCATAGCAGTGTGTCCATGAACTACCTGACAACTGCTAATTTCCTTTTCAGTTAAACATGCACAAAAGGCACCTGAAATGTCATTTGGGCTTAGTCTGTATGGCATTTTTTTATTTAAAGAAACAAAAAAGCAGCTTACTTTCAGAACAACTGTCACTTTCATTTAAAGAAGTTTTCAGAAAGCTTGGAAATGTTGAGAAGCCTCAACCACAACAACAGCCCTGTAATTGTTTTATACATAACGAGGTTATAGTAAACATTTTTCTTGTTGTCCAGAAACCTACTTAATTGTAGGATGGAAATGTTTTATTTATAAACACAACAGAAACAGCATTTGCCAAGTACACTGACACCAAAAAGAGCAATGAAGAAAACCTAAGAAATGTCTGCAACAATTTGACCACATCCATATCTCAGAGAAGACCTTTTCAAATAAAACTGTGAACTAAAAGAATCCTTGTTTGTGTAATCGTTTTACAGGGCCTTGGTACCACAGAGACTTGTGACAAATGTTTTTGTCCCTAAAAGGATTATAAACCCACTGAATCATCAGAAAATAAGCACATGTTATTTGTCAAATTATGTGTATTACAGCAGAAAGTTTGAGCCATATTTAAGAACCTTGCTGCAGAGCGGCCTAGAATAATGCAAACATTACATTTTGTCACTTGGATGATTTTCAAATTAATTCTCTCTCATGGTACAATTGCTTTTAGAAGCTGCATCACCATCTCAAATGCCTCACCACTTTGTGAAACCACCTTCTGTTAATGACAGTACCTTGGACAAATTTCCCCTCCCACGTCGACAGGAAGCGATTTGAAAAGTTAAGCTACAATTAAGCACCACTTGGGATCTGTTCTGATCCTTTCTAACGAAATTTTATCCAACTTCTTCTTTTCAATGCATTTTACAAGGTCTGACAGGAGAATATGGAGGCATCTGGATTCAGAGAGAACAGAGCCACAGAGAATACAGTGCCAGGAGGAATATTTGCTGGCTCAGTCAGCAGGGAAAATTCAGGGTGATGGTCTCATTTCCTTTATGCTGACCACGAGGGGATGGTCTCTACTGGACTCATTCCACAAAGAGGAACAGAGGTGGAAGAAACATCCTTTTAGTGTCTAACAGGCTCTATCCTGTCAGCTGAGCCACACTGAAGCCACACATGACACTCAACATCCACAGGTTGCCAACAAGCAAGAAATGTCAAGAAACATCAGGAAAACCAAAGGCAGAAGTTGAGATGGTCTAAGAAACCTCCTACTCTGTCCTGGTGTAACTTTGCCTTCGAATTTGATTCCATTTTACAACATCAACCAGGCAATGATAAAAGCACTGGACCCTGTTCTGGATACACAGAATTTTTTCTGCAGCTTCAGCCCCGGACTGGGTCGGTGGGGTGTGCAAGTCTGGGTGTGCACAACCAAAAATTACTCATAAATTCTGGGAGAAACACTTCCAAGGAAAAGAACTGCCACCCTCTCTTTCCTTCCTTTCTCTGCCTCCTCCCCATCTTGGTAACCTCAAGCTCAAAGCATGTGAGAATTATGTTTTTTTTTTTTATTTTATAATTCACTGGGAGCAATATTTGGGACTGAATCCAAGTTGCTTTTGTTTATTCAACACTCTGAAATACAGGAAACAACTCCCCAGCTGATGAAAGTTCAGTGCATCTCTCGTGTTCTGAAGATGATGAGGAACTTCCTGAACAGATAACCATCCTACTGAGCTGCTTTCTACATGAAAAAAAAAACGACATAAAAGTGATTTTCTAATTAATATTCCAGAGTTTTTAAGGCTATTACCACAGCTTTCATTTTTCTATTTATTTTCATGAACCCCAGTTCTTGATTCCAAGACACTTTGTATGAAACCCTCACACTTCTGAAGGGAAATCCTCCATCAGTGGCTTTAACACACCAAGATCTGACCAAGGCACACAGACCCACAGTGGTCATAAATGCATATAAAACCTGAAAAGTTCCAAAATGAGCTGTTTACCTGTTACTTCCAGTTTTTCACCAATGACTTCAGCTTTCAGGTAAATCCTTCCCCTTTTCTCTGTGTGGTCCATGCCACAGAGGCTGGGGACGTTTATCACACATTGCTTATGAACGTTCATGTCACAGGCTGTGGAGACAAAAATGGTTCAGACACCCACGAGGAGCCAATAATTATGATCACACTGCAAACTCAGAGGAAAGTGAAAGTTAAGACTAAATGCTTAATTGTTGGCCAGACTTTCAGATCACAGCTGGGTGGTTTTCCACCCAATGATGTGGCTACATCTTACAATACATTCTGCAGAGAATAAAATAATCTACTTCAGAAACCTAAACATAACCATTAATGATGTGCAAGAGAAAATAAAAGTGAAGATGGAATAAAGACTTGCTGGGAATATGACTAAGAAAACAGAGCATTCACGTCAGCATCCCCAACGAACATGAGTTTAAATTGATTATTAGATTTTTCTAGCAGGACGCTTCCAATACAAATTAAATACAAGGAAAATACTGGAGCCTGGCTACAAACTGAACTGAATTTTCAGTCTTTAAGGGTGTATTCAAGAGGCTTTCTCAAAACTGCCACAGCAAAGGCTCTTCAGCCACATCAAGCTGAACGTGCTGCGTTCTCAGCAGCAGAGGTGATTTTCATTAGTAGATCATTATAGTACTGAAATATCCACTTGAAATATAACAGGACTATAAATAGCTGACATTTGAAACACTGTTTTCCACAGAAATGAAGTAAGAGGCCGTTACCCAGGGTTTCCACTTACTTTCTAAAGTAAACCCCTCTTTTGGTAACACAGAAAACCTTCACTTACTGTCACACTTCATCCCTTGGTGCAGGAGCCCATAAAGGAGGGACCCACAGTGGTCACAAAAGGTGGGGCTCCCATAGGTGTGGATCTTAAATTTGTGCTTGCTTCTGGGATCCTGGAGGGAAAAAAACAGACAGACATCCTCAAGTCATAAAAAAATACCAGTGACATACCTTTAATATATCACTTCAAATACCAAAACCTTTCCAGCTCTGCAGCTTATGCTGCAGGAAAATACATTTGATTGTGTAGCTTGTTCCCGACCCTCAGAGCAGTACCTGCAGTGGCACAGGCACATCTGCCTCAGTTCTTAATTTTCCTCTGCTTTGGTGTTGTAAGAGTGAGTCAGCTCAGAGAACACAGCCTTGTTCCATGATTTATCTGCACTAAAACTTCACTTACTGACTGCACAAGTACATGAAGTTTAATGACAGTGTTCAGCCCGTGGCTGAAGTGTCACAGACCGTCTGTCTGATTACAGTGTGTCCTTGTCACCACACAAAATACAGCAGGGAAATAACTGTTAATGGGCTGTTCTGAACCACAAAGGGCTGGAAAATCAGCATCTTACAGAGGGGATCATCTCGAAATGCTGCAACTTTATAGTCTACACTGTAAATGGAAGGGAACAACTTCTAACTTGACATGCAGTAAATGTTTTACAGACAATGCTGTTCCCATCTGATTATTGAACAGAGAAACTTATAAAAAGAACATTTTAGCCACCAGCAGCTTGGAAATGTTTCCTAATTTAGAACCAGTGAAAGGGAATACGCTCAAATCAAAAATCCAAAGAATTCTGCTGTTCCTCCAGGGGTAGAGATCCTCTCTGGAAAACCAAGACACTTACATAAAAGGAATAAATCACAAATTCAGTACGTTCACCCATTCCACACACACCAGGCTGGAGATGTGCAGAGCTCAGACAAAGGGGGCAACAGCCCTGTCCTGTGCACATCCTCTCCATCCTGATATCCCTGATGGCCATTTCCAGCCCCAAATGTGTTTTAGTCACAACTACCACTGCCCAGTCTTGATCAGGAGTTGGGAAGAGCAGCAATTCTTCATTAGAAAACACACTGGGGTTTGAAATGAATCCTTGCTAACATTATTTTCAGAAAGATCACGGAAATCATGAAATGCCAGGTCTAAAACATCCTCGACGAATACACAGCTGCAAAATGAGACATGAAAATATTTTTCTTCTGATTAGATTTTGTATTAATGTGCCTTTATATTAGATAAGAACTGTTAAGCTGTCTTACAAATATACTGATTTTTAAACTTCACCTGCCATTCAAAAGCAAAGCCCAGCATGTAATCCAAGATGGAAAACCTGGGGGCTCTGTCTTCAAAAGGCAAAGATTCCTCCAGTAAAAGAGTTTTCTCAAGAAACCTGAGAACTTCTAACACTAATTATCATAAAAATAGGACTACGAGAAGGCAAAATCTTGCCTTCATATTTTAATATTTTGCCATCTTACTCTTTGTGAAGGTTTTTTGTGTTTTGGGAGCATTCTGCATGTGAAATCATTCTGATACTGATTCCAAGTTTTACAATGAATCTATAACCATTATTTTTTCACTACACAGGAAGAAATTGTACAGCATCCAGGATAACAAGTAAAGGCTTTACATTAGGAATTCAAATGGAGACTATTTCAATAGCTCTGCCTGTTACACAGCCCAAGATATGAAATACAAGCTGCTAACAACCGTATTTATTTAGTAAACACAGTTAACCCACATGGAGTGACATCCAGGGCTCCACAGAACATCTGTTTCATTATTTATTAAAGATATAGCAAAGGGCCTCGTGGCACAGGGTCATGGGAACGTTGTTTTACAAAAGGGTTCTCTGATGGCTCTTTGACTATATGATTCCAAACAATTTAAACCACAGTTGGGAAGCGAATTCTTCCTTAAATTGTTTTGTTTAGAAGACAGGAGGGGACTTGTTGCCTTATAAATATACCCACTTAAACATTACTCTGGTAAGCACATCTTTGGCTGAGAAGGACAAAAGCTTCCAAGAATGACACTGAATAAACAGAGTTTTAAAGTTGTGTTTAACCTCTGATGTAAGTGGTATTTATGAGTATAAAGTAAATGATACAGAGGGGAAATTATTATAGTGAATGTCTATTAAATACATTGAGTCTGTATATTCTCCTGAAATGATATAACACTACCAAATAATTTTACTCCAAACAACAGGATATCCATGTAATTAAGTTAAGCAGGGGGGTGTGTGGCTAAAAAACGTTGTGACATGTAAGGACAGCTCTGCTGCTCTCACCACAAAGCAACATGAGCTCATGTGCTCCTGTGCCTAATTCAGTGTGACTCCAAAATGAAATAAAAACAGTCACAGGAATAAATAAATCGAGTTGAATCAAACTTTGGAGTTGGCCCTGCATGATTCATTATATGTAATTTGAATCATCATTTGCTTTCTGTAACGAATGCCCCTTTTCTATCCCTATATGAGAGTCCCTACTGTAGGATGTTTCAAATGAAAAATTTATTATGAATTAATTTTTTTAAGGAGTAGCAAGTAAGTTCTGACTATTATTAGTTATTATCCTCTATGCATGAAGTCATTCCAGGCAGAGCATAATATAAACAGGACAGTGGAAAACAGTACCAAAACTACTCCTGAACTGGAAACTTTGTAGAATATCCCTTTCAAAATCCCTTTAATACATCTACATAGAAGAACCTAAAAAACATTTAAAACCTACAAATAAGAGAGTGCACTCTTCATCAGTATTTAATCCTATTTTCTGTTTCAGTCCTATGTTTTTTGATTTTTTTTTTGTAAATGGAAGTATAGAGGACAACTTTATTTTGCCACCAAGTCTGAGACCATCTAGAGAAAGCCAAGAGATCACTTCTACCCAAAACAGATGATAAAACCTTTTTATCTTATTCTTATATTAACAGGGATTTTTCATGCACTTACAACTACCCTTGAATCTATAGTTTGCATTTTAATTACAAGCAATCATATTAATAATAATTAGTACATTGCCAGTACTAATTACTTACATTAACAGCAATTATTTTATTAGTTGTTAACACTTCCCAGTGTTAAATATGCATTAAGGGACTTATGTGAATCATAGAGGAAACAGCATCATCTTTAGTACTTTCTGGCTAAAGGAAAACTATGGAGCTAAAGGAAAGCTCCTGTAAATTTTCTTCAAATATGCCCTTTTCATCGATGTAAACTTTCAATAATTCCCAAAGCAGAGCTGGCAGTCCCGTTTCATAGTAAACACAGGGAGCCAAGCCAGGATATGACAGATGAACTGCCAAATAATGGCTGCTATTTGCAAGAGAATTGAACTTTGCACTAAACTTGGCATAGATTAATTGTGAAACTCTAAAGGGAAAACCCACTTCTGCTTCCAAAACCCGTCAAAGTTATGGAGGGGGAAAGTGGCAATGGGAAAGCAATGGGAAAGCACTTGTTAAGCAGTGATGAATGATGTGCTCTATTAAAATTCATGTTATTTTCATGCTGAAAAGTGAATTCTGGGCTATGTTAAGACAAGCCCCCATTTTGGTAAGTAGAACTGAATGCAATACAGCATAATTAAATGGGAAAGGAAACTCGGCAATCAATATCAGTGACGTTTAAATATTTGTCTTTGAAAAACCCTTAAACTGGCAAAAATCTGGCCAGTGCTCTGCAATTCAACTGCTTTAGAACAGGTTGGTTTTCAGAGCCTGTAATGACATATATAGGTGCAGTATCCCTTTAAAGACAAACAGAAACTGGGCATCTACAGCCCACACAGCTCTGAAAAAATCAGAATATTATTCATTAGTCTCAAAGCAGAGACAAGATTGCCCAGAGAGGGGCAGGCCCAGAGTCCCAGTGAGCAGGAGATCTGGGCTGCACGAGGTGGAACTATCACCAAAAACGGAGCAGAAACCTTTAAAAAACATAAATCATGAGTTTGCAGAAGTGACTCCCCCAGCCCAGCCAGTTTGGGGTCTGCTCGAAGGAGATCCTGGAGCCGGGCAGGAATCCAGGCAGGAATCCAGGCAGGAATCCTGCTGCACTCCAGCAGAGGGAAGCAGAAGAACACGGAGGCATCTCCCCAAACCACACGTTTGTCCCTCTGTCTACTGCCACCGAGCTCTGTCCTGCCCACTGCAGCAGCACTGCCACCATCCCTGCTCCTGCCTTTGTTTAGCTCAAATGAATCCATTCCCTTTATTGGAGAGCCATGGAAAGCACCCCCCTGTGAGGAGCCATTCCATCATTTTTGTGGCTCAAAGGAGGGGTGTGCAATAATTGAAAGCTCCTGGTTAACCAGCAGCACATGTCAAACTGTGCTTTAACACATCACAAACCAGCTTATGAGCACTGCATTTCGGAATTCATTCTAAGAGCTCCCTTTTGATTAGGATTTTATTCCCCTTGATAGCAACACTGAACTTGCTATCATTTTGCAGCCATTAAATCACCACGTTGCTTTTAAGTATAAAATATGCAAAAAACCCCACTTTGGGTGCTGTTACACCAGTGGAGATTTTACATTCCAAGCACATCATATCATTCCTTGTTGTCTTTTCATAATATACAACTTGATGGTGTCACCAGCTGTGTCCCCAGGAACACGGATCCACCTTGTCCTGGGCTGATCCCACAGTGTGGGCACCAGGGAAGGGGGGATTCTGCCCCTCTGCCCCCCTCAGGAGAGACCCCACCTGCAGAGCTGCCTCCAGCTCTAGGGTCCAACAGCAGAAGGATGTGGAGATGCTGGAACAAGCCCAGAGGAGGCCACAGAGATGCTCTGAGGGCTGGAGCCCCTCTGCTCTGGAGCCAGGCTGGGAGAGCTGGGGGGGCTCACCTGGAAAAGAAAAGGCTCCAGGGAGACCTGAGAGCCCTCTCAGGGCCTAAAGAGGCTCCAAGAGAGCTGCAGAGGGACTTTGGACAAGGGATGGAGGGACAGGACACAGGAAACGGCTTCCCACTGCCAGAGGGCAGGGTTAGATGGGATATTGGGAAGAAATCCTTCCCTGTGAGGGTGGGGAGGCCCTGGCACAGGTTGCCCAGAGAAGCTGTGGCTGCTCCATCCCTGGAAGTGTCTAAAGCCA